CACGCACACACACACACACAGACAAGCACTGTGATGTGTGTGCACCATATCAGACACATGTGGTACAATCTTGCATGATTGGTGTGGTCTGGTGTTCGTGTTTGTTGGTGCAGTGTTCCAGAGAGCTGGAGCTCTTTAGAGGGACCAGACAACGGTCAGAGGGCCGCCCACTTTGCAGCACCCCCCAGCAGCACAACACACGCAGAAACTCTTTTCTCATGTCCTTGCTGCGCAGCGTGTAGATCACTGGGTTAAGCGCTGAGTTCAGAGTGGCAAAGCCAAAAAAGATGTCTGCTTTGGAGAGGATAGGGCAAAATTGTATCCTGCAAGATGAATCTAGGAGGAGGATGGTAAAAGCAGGCAGCCAGCACATGATGAAGACACCCAGCACTATAGTCACAGTTTTCAAAAGGGCATAGGCCGGCGAGTTGGTCGCTTCCTGGTGGCTGGAGCGTACAATCAAATAGATCTTCACATATAGGATGCCAATAGAGAGGAGTATGAGGCTGAAAATGGTGACAACAAAGAGGATGTATTTCTTTGAGTAGAGTGGCAGAACTGCTGAGCATTCAGGGAGATTGTTGATGCAGTTCCAGCCGATAATGGGAAGTCCTCCGAGCAGGATGGAGGTGACCCAACAAGCTCCTATCAAAAGAAACATCCGGCATGTTTTGTTGGAGCCATACACCTTCACCTTGGTGATAGCAATATAGCGTTCTATAGCTATCGCCAGCAAGCTGAAGACTGAAGCTGCCAGAGCAATAAACGCCGTACCCTCCCGAATGAACCACTGCACAGGCATCAGCTCAAAGGTCCTTGACCCTGATAGAAAAATGTTGGCTATGTAGGCCGAGCCTGCCAGCAGGTCAGAGAATGCCAGGTTGCCGATGAAGAAAAACATTGCAGAGTGGAACTTCTTGTTGCGAAAGACAGCAATTAGGACCAGCAGATTCTCCAGGATGATGATGGTGCAGAGGACCACGATGACAATGTTGAGGGTGGTGAGCTGTTTTTTATTCTCAATACGTTTGTCCACCTCCTGAGTGCTCATGTTCTTAGCAAATGCATAATAGGAGTGGATCAGACTCTTATTGTAGTACTGGGAATACTTGCTCTTCATGGTGACAGGGTGGCAGAGCACAGCGGCTTTACGGCAAAGATTCATTCACACAGTGGAGTTGGAGTGTCTAAGCAAATAATCGTTGCCTTTAAGGACAGGAAGAGGGCCCAGGATGGGAGGGAGACTGCCTGTCCCACAGTCACATCTGAAGAGTTCTATGTGGGTCACCTGCAGACACAGAAAGGAAGAGAAGGCCTGGGTTACTTATTGCAATGAAATAAACTGTGATAAAAGAAAACACATTTTTAACAAAGATGACACAATGCACTGGTCAAACTCAAAACAAATTAACCAGGCAACAACCTATTTCTCAGTCTGTGCAGTGGAAACATGTTTTAATGTGTTTGAATTGACTCGAAGAAGTCATTACAATGACCCAAAGTCAAAGAGTGGAGGAACAGCAGTAGACCACAATTTCAACACCCCTTATTATCCATGTCCTTGAGATGATCTTGCAGATAGACAGATTCATAATGAAGAGTTGACATTTTAAGGCCAACAAATCGCATAAATGAATGGCCATATACAGAGTGAACGCACCGCATTCACTGTGTCCATTTGTTACATCGCAAACTGAACACCCACGCAGACAGGTTGCAGCATTTTCGCGGTACAAAAGGAATGGAAATAAATAATTCCGTTGCTGGCAAGGGAGTTGTACATTATTATAAAAGATCTTTGTTTTTTATGGTGAACCTGTGTAGACAGATCATCTCCAGGTAGAAGGATAAATAGTCTATGAGGCAGAGTGCTGGTGCTCAGACAAAGGGCTGCGCTCACAGTCTGAAGGGGACATTCCACTAACCCCGTCCGAGCACTCGGCTGTCAACACACGGCATTGTTGTGGGGATCGAACCATTCCATTCCAGTGAGCTACCTCTTGAAACTTCAGATTAGCTTGTGGATCAGCCAGACTTCTTCATCCTAACCTGCCCCCTCCAACCAGTTCACAAATGTCAACAGCAAATCAAATAGATACTCGAGAAGGAAAGGATGGGAGCTTCCCTGAGTGTGTGAAAAACAGCTTTGTAAGACTTGACATTTGCATATGACATATTGTAATTTTGTGTTCAAAGTGTTCAGTACACCAAAGATTTTCCACTTTGTGTGCGTTATACTGAGGCCATGTCAGAATAATTACTTTACATACATAATGACATTGTGTCATAAGGTGCTTTCCAAGCATTTTGTTAGATTTTTTTTCAAGGAGAAACCTATAAACAAAACAAAACAAAATGGACTGCAGCTACAGGCCTGAAAACAAAGGAAAGTTGGAGGCTCTGGAAATCTAATTAGAGGTGGAGCTGGTGTCTTAAACCTGTCAAAAGTAACAGGATCCCTCTGCAGCCCAGCTCCAGAGGTAATTGAACACTGATGCAACTAGCCTGAATGGCTGCAGCAGCTCTTAACTGGAAACCTTTAGTGGAAACTGGGACTGTACCTCTTCTCTGTTCTGGTGCACTTCGACTCAAAACCCGAGGGACTGAAAGATTGAGAGGGAGCGAGACAAAGCCAGACAGAGAGCATGCATGTGGAACGGCATCTGGACACAAAGGCAGGAATCTGAGACATCACTGTGACGTCCACACACACAAATTGATCCATATGACTCGTTGCACTGCACTGAATTTCACTCTGCACGATCTTCACACACACAGCTAATTGTGACAGACATAGAATTGTATAGAATTCCCCTGCATGTATGCAGCTTCGACGCACAGCTGCTATTGGTTGCCAGTAATAACCAGCACACTGCTTCCTCAAGCAGGAACAAAGAACAATAGTCTCCTTCAGTGTGGAGAGCCTTGCCCTTCAGCCTTAATAATGGGACAGCGCACTTCCATTTGGCTGCTGCAACTATATCATCACAGAAATGTATTTAAAGTTGAGCACTCTACGATCAGAACCGCTGTATCAGGACAGCTTGTCTCCCCACCATCCTTTTTTGTTCCATTAATAGACACAAATAGGAGGCTTGAGGCTGAGCACATGTGCCAGCTGCACCAGCGTAATTACATTAGGTTACATTATTTCAGCCTATAATGACTTTATTATTGGAAAAGTCAGCCGACATAGACTAGTTGTGTGTGTCTACAGTGTCCAGTCTGCTAAGAGAAAAAAAAACACGCTGGTTTGCTTTGCTCTATCTTTTGTCTCAGCTCTGCCAGGTTTTCCCTGGACAGTTCTGTCATGTATTGTGTAGACAGCTCGAGGTCCTCCTGTCACCTGCAGTCCTTGGCGTTTGTCACTAAGGGATTTCACTGTGTGTGGGAAACCTGACGGACTGGTTTCCCTGCAACACTGTCTCGTCGCAGCCCTGCCCTGCCCCTCTACCTGCCGGGTGCCATTCAGACGCTTCCACTGTGATTGGACGACAGGAGTGCAGACTTCCTGCTACGTAACCCCTCCCAGCTGAACCATCATCAAAGTTGTGCCCTTTGTTCGACCCAGACATCACTGTCACAGTTTCACAGTAGACATAACACATTGTCAAAAATGTTGTTCCACCATGTTGACCAATGACTCCATTCCTATCTAACACAATGGGATAACAACAGCAGCATAAACCCCAAAAGACTATACTGTACAGTATATTTACAGAATAGTTTAAGTATTCAAAAAATAGATAACATTACTAGTTAAGTGTTTATAGAATACTAACTGTATACTTAGTATTCTAAGAACTGATCAACATTCAAAGTTCAAAAGTGTACAAAAATAATCATATTATAATAATCACACAACCAGAGGCAGGGGAATTCTATTACACCACTCCTCAAAAGTATATTTAAATATATTTATTGTGCATCTGATGTCGTGTAGTATTTCCGGTATAAACGTCCAATCTATTCACCTGTATTCACCTTTGCAATGAATGCACATTCTACGGACTCCATAGAAGAGGACCCAATCGCTCTGTAGATAGAAACATCACCATCATGTAGATAGAAACATCACCATCACCTACAACATCATTATATATATAATGATGTTGTAGGCGATGGTGTTAAGAGATTACAGAAGGACAAATAGCATACTATCCTATCTAGAAATAATCAGATAAAGGTAGCAGGGTATAAATTAGTGTCAAAGACACAAAGGAAGTCAAAGAGACAGACACCTGTGAAATGAAACAGGATATCCTATCAGAAAGCTTCTGTAAGCATCACCAAAGCTACCTGTTTCTCATGATTTGATGAGTGATGCAGAGATGCTTTTGTGGTCTTGTCAAATAGCACCGTTACCATGGTTTATTTTGAATTTTCTCAGCTATGCCTACTTCTCACAACCACACATACAACATTACAACCATGGAACCACAGTTGCAAATTGGTGCATAAACAGCCTAGATTTTAACATCCAAAGATGATTCAAATGGGAGCGATGGTTGCTGCTGAAAGCTGATTCTTGTTGTCTCCTAATCCTAACAGGAGACAGAGTTCCCCTCTCCATCATGGGACTGACGGCTCCACAAAAGCCTCAGGTGTTTTTCACAGAAGCACCTGATAAGCCCCAATTAGCAGAGCGTCTGCTCACCAAAAACCAGGGCAACACCACACCATTATAGCCACCTGCTACCTATTACATTTTACTAAAACCCTGCATTTCTGTGTACACACACTTTCATTCACATGTACAATCTCCCACAAACATTTTGGCTTAGATAAGAGCAGTGTCTAACCTTGTATTTGAGTAGTTTACATTTGCAGCTTATCTTGTTTGCATTGCAATGTGTTTACTGTTTGTTTAAAAGAATCACTCAGCAGGTTTCACTGTCGAGCAGTTTGCGGTCTGTAACATCCTGTAACACATCTTTCTCCATCAGCTTTTCGCACTCCCTGCTCACAGTCCGCTGTAGTGGCAACATAGTACCAATATAGCCTCTGTTTTCACAGCATGGTCAAGTGTATCTCTCCATAATCTGTCCTCAAAAACCAGTGGCATGAGGCTGTAACAGAAATGTCTTCTTTGTAAGGACTGTAATATGAAAAAGTTAATTATGTACATTTTCCATTTGAGGGATATTTAATGACTTCCTGTACAACTGTACACCAGGCTTTTCTTCTGGAATAAATTAAGAACAGCCACAAGGTAATCCATCATGGATACACAGAAAGCATATGCTGCTGTGATTTGTTCTTTCCTGTTTGTCTTTTAAGGTGATATCAGTCTATAGCTTACCTCTAAGAGTGCTTTACTGTAACTGTAAATGGCATCAGTCAACACTACATCTTTCTTCTCCCCTCTAATCTCCTAAGTGACCTATAGACCAAAGAACAGCCTGGGTGCTGCAACCATGATGACCAGCACTCACATGAGAAAGTAATACTGTTTAGCATTTCTGGGAAATAGCAACTTCGTGTGTTACACACTGGAAAGCTGGAGATAGCCGACTAAACAGCAGAAATAATGTTTCAAGGTAAAACCTCTGAGCAAAAGGTGTGAATGTGATCTTATAGAGTGGAGGAGAGCTGTGGCCCCTAGAAGGAAAATTCCATGTGCAAAGCACAGCAATGTAGTCAGAATATTTCCCTTCAAGTGTTGACATGTCAGACACGCAGGAAAAATACAACTAACTATTACCACCGCAAAGTTTCACCACTGCTACCACAGGCAGTTTTAATTCTAAGGAAATGACAAAACTGAAAGATGCATGCTTAAAGAACACCCACAGTTCCCTCCACTTTTCTGTTTCTTAAACTTTATCAGTGATGACATACTATACTTCCTTGTCTTTACACTTCAGCAGCTCAGTGCTCCTCTAAGCCGTCACAAGCCACTGCACACATGGGCCCGTTAAGGCAGGCCTTTTTGCATTGAGCAACTCCATGCAGTCACGCTGTGCAAGGACAGAAAACACAGTGATGGACCGTATCTGCTGGCAGGTGGCTGCAGTGTCTCTTGCCGCTCTATCCATCACTGAGCCTGAGGGCTGTATGTGTGAAATCTTTTCACATCACCACAGTAACACTATTGATTGTTCACAGTCAATTTCCAGGAAAAAGCATTAATGTTTTCAGTATCACTGTAACTGGGATGAAGAGGGTTCACATTGCTGCTGTTACATGACTGACCTGCATCCTGGTCCTTCAAATGACATTGGTCAAGGCACAGACTAAACAGTCACACACATTGACCCTTATTTAGCAGTGTCTCCTCTATAAGGT